CTCCTGTCAGGATTGTCAAATCAAGATTGCTGGTTGTAGCTATCTGTTATTGTATCTATCAAGATTGCCATATATTTGCAATACAACTGTAAATCTCGGGAATGTCATATTTTTACTGGAAGCATAAGTGTGATGGCCGTAGAAACAATTACCCATAAAAATATGAATAAAGTGTCATATCTTAGAAAATAAAGAAAGTGGAATAGAGGAAGTCTCCTATCCAAATAAAACAATTGGGAGGGGTCTGGGGGAAGTCCCCAGGTTAGGTAATATTTTTGTTTATTTGTTGATCTTTTTGTCCATTTAAGATGGGGTTCATTCCTTTGTTTGCTCAATGCTGGTGTAACAGCCCAGAATATACCCAGGGTTATTTTAGACCAGTTTATAGCCCCCCCTCCCCCTGTGGGTATGAAATGGGCTAGGCTAGAATATATATTCCTAGGTTAGAGTATATCCCTTCCTGTTTGCATGCTGATCATGCATTGATGTCACAACTGCAGACATACCTTGTGCATTGAGTTCTACAGGCTACCATATTAAACTCAAAACTTGAAATATGTAGTATCATATTCATTATGATTATAATTAACAATAATTATTATCATTTTTATTATCATTATTAAGAGTTTTAATCTGGACAGTAACAAATGAACATTCAAACAACATTCAAAACCAAACTGAAGTGTTCACAAATATTTTACACATAGAATGCATATATTAAGACTGCATATTACAAGTCTTTACTTATATATTTTTTTTTCTTAGACAAAGACAGAAAGACCGACATTACATCACAGACCTTACTTCAGTTACCAAAAAAAGTTTGATGAAATTGTTCATTCATGTAAAAAATAACATTATAAGCAAAGACATGCAACACTAATACATGCTTTATATTTGCAAAACATTTCTGAACACTTCACTTTTGAATGTTGTTTGAATACTCACTTGTTACTGAACAGAACAAAACCTAATTAACAGTACTACTAATTATAGTAACAATGTTATTTTTGTTTTGGAATAAACATACAGTACATAATAATGATGATGATGATAATGATAATGATAATAATGATATATAATAATAATAATATATAATAATAATAATATATAATAATAATAATATACAATAATATTATTATTATTACTATCATTATTATATGATATTGATAATAATGATAGTGATAATAATTATAATGATATGGTAATAATGATAAAGATAATGATAACAATAATAACAATGATAATAATAATAACAATGATAATAATAATAACAATGATAATAATAATAACAATGATGATCATAATAATAATGATAATAATAATAACAATGATAATAATAATAATAATAATGATAATGATAATGATAATAATAATGATAATAATGATAATAATAATAATAATGATAATAATAATGATAATAATGATAATAATAATAATCATAATCATAATCATATTAATAATGATGATGATGATGATAATAATAGTAATAGTAATAATAATAATATTGACAATAATGATATTGATAATGAAATTATTAATGATATTGAAATGTTCATGATAATAATTATTATCCTTACAATCATTATATTTAGAATTATTATTATAATCATTATGATTATAATGATGATGGTTCATCATTATCATTTCATGTTAATGGTAATGCTGATAATGATAATGACAGTGAAAATGACAATAACAGTGCTAATGATTATAACAATAATGATGATGGTGATAACAATGGTAACACATGAGCCAATAACAAATTCACAAATAGTCAGCACTTTTCAATTTTGGCTATCATCAATCAAATACTTGGTCAGACCTTAGCCACAAATAGGTGCATGTTAATTTTTCAAAACATTGTTGCCTGTAAAAGTATGCAAAATTATTATTGACAATGTTGCCATAAGTTAGGCCTGTGAATAAATATTTCAAGTATGAGTTTAATATGGTACCCTATAGAATTCAATGCACCAGGCATGTCTGCAGTTGTGAGATCCATGCATGATTTGCATTAACACCAGCCATTATCTTCTGGCAATATAGTGATGTACTTGTTACACGCAAAAAGTAAGGGGTATATTAACTCATTGCTGCCTGGGGGGAAATGAATAAAAAATGGGGAAAATGCTGTGCTCATTTTTATATTTTTTGTGAAATGTCTCTGCACATAGATGGCTCTGCCTTACCTGATTTCACCTTTCCTTGAAATGGCGGGAAAATTTATTTTTTACTAGTTCTATGAATATCGATGGTGTTGTTTTTATTATAAGCATTATAATTACTATAATGTTATATACATTAGCAATAGCAAAATAAGATAAGTAAAATATTTTTGTAAATTAAAGAAAATGGTAAACGGGCAAGGCAGGCAGTACAGAAGGAGAGGAGGAGAGAGGGAGGGAGAGAAGGAGAGGAAGAGAGAGGGAGGGAGAGAAAGAGAGGAGGAGAGAGGGAGGGAGAGAAAGAGAGGAGGAGAGAGGGAGGGAGAGAAGGAGAGGAGGAGAGAGGGAGGGAGAGAAGGAGAGGAGGAGAGAGGGAGAGAGAGAAGGAGAGGAGGAGAGAGGGAGAGAGAGAAGGAGAGGAGGAGAGAGGGAGGGAGAGAAAGAGAGGAGGAGAGAGGGAGGGAGAAAAGAGAGGAGGAGAGAGGGAGGGAGAGAAAGAGAGGAGGAGAGAGGGAAGGAGAGAAGGAGAGGAGGAGAGAGGGAGGGAGAGAAGGAGAGGAGGAGAGAGGGAGGGAGAGAAAGAGAGGAGGAGAAAGGGAGGGAGAGAAGGAGAAGAGGAGAGAGGGAGTGAGAGAAGGAGAGGAGGAGAGAGGGAGGGAGAGAAGGAGAGGAGGAGAGAGGGAGAGAAGGAGAGATGGTGAGAGGGAGAGAAGGAGAGAAGGAGAGGAGGAGAGAGGGAGGGAGAGAAGGAGAGGAGGAGAGAGGGAGGGAGAGAAGGAGAGGAGGAGAGAGGGAGGGAGAGAAGGAGAGGAGGAGAGAGGGAGTGAGAGAAGGAGAGGAGGAGAGAGGGAGGGAGAGAAAGAGAGGAGGAGAGAGGGAGTAAGAGAAGGGAGAGGAGGAGAGAGGGAGAGAAGGAGAGGAGGAGAGAAGAAGGAGAGAAGGAGAGGAGGAGAGAGGGAGGGAGAGAAGGAGAGGAGGAGAGAGGGAGGGAGAGAAGGAGAGGAGGAGAGAGGGAGGGAGAGAAGGAGAGGAGGAGAGAGGGAGGGAGAGAAGGAGAGGAGGAGAGAGGGAGGGAGAGAAGGAGAGGAGGAGAGAGGGAGGGAGAGAAGGAGGGGAGGAGACAGGGAGGGAGAGAAGGAGAGGAGGAGAGAGGGAGGGAGAGAAAGAGAGGAGGAGAGAGGGAGTGAGAGAAGGAGAGGAGGAGAGAGGGAGGGAGAGAAAGAGAGGAGGAGAGAGGGAGTGAGAGAAGGAGAGGAGGAGAGAGGGAGGGAGAGAATGAGAGGAGGAGAGAGGGAGTGAGAGAAGGAGAGGAGGAGAGAGGGAGGGAGAGAAAGAGAGGAGGAGAGAGGGAGGGAGAGAAAGAGAGGAGGAGAGAGGGAGGGAGAGAAAGAGAGGAGGAGAGAGGGAGGGAGAGAAAGAGAGGAGGAGAGAGGGAGGGAGAGAAAGAGAGGAGGAGAGAGGGAGGGAGAGAAAGAGAGGAGGAGAGAGGGAGAGAGAGAAGGAGAGGAGGAGAGAGGGAGGGAGAGAAGGAGAGGAGGAGAGAGGGAGGGAGAGAAGAGAGGAGGAGAGAGGGAGGGAGAGAAAGAGAGGAGGAGAGAGGGAGGGAGAGAAGGAGAGGAGGAGAGAAGGAGAGAGAGGAGGAGAGAGGGAGGGAGAGAGAGAGAGGAGGAGAGAGGGAGGGAGAGAGAGAGAGGAGGAGAGAGGGAGGGAGAGAGAGAGAGGAGGAGAGAGGGAGGGAGAGAGAGAGAGGAGGAGAGAGGGAGGGAGAGAAGGAGAGGAGGAGAGAGGGAGGGAGAGAAGGAGAGGAGGAGAGAGGAGGAGAGAGGAGGAGAGAGGAGGAGAGAGAGGAGAGAGGGAGGGAGAGAAGGAGAGGAGGAGAGAAGGAGAGAGAGGAGGAGAGAGGGAGGGAGAGAGAGAGAGGAGGAGAGAGGGAGGGAGAGAGAGAGAGGAGGAGAGAGGGAGGGAGAGAAAGAGAGGAGGAGAGAGGGAGGGAGAGAAGGAGAGGAGGAGAGAGGGAGGGAGAGGAGGAGAGAAGGAGAGAGAGGAGGAGAGAGGGAGGGAGAGAGAGAGAGGAGGAGAGAGGGAGGGAGAGAGAGAGAGGAGGAGAGAGGGAGGGAGAGAAAGAGAGGAGGAGAGAGGGAGGGAGAGAAGGAGAGGAGGAGAGAGGGAGGGAGAGAAAGAGAGGAGGAGAGAGGGAGGGAGAGAAAGAGAGGAGGAGAGAGGGAGGGAGAGAAGGAGAGGAGGAGAGAGGGAGGGAGAGAAGGAGAGGAGGAGAGAGGGAGGGAGAGAAAGAGAGGAGGAGAGAGGGAGGGAGAGAGAGAGAGGAGGAGGGAGGGAGAGAAGAAAGTGAGAAATTGGAAATTGAAGATTGAAAATTGAAAAGTGAGAAAGAGAGAGAGGGAGGGGGGGAGGGAGAGATTGACATTTAGAAAATGAGATTGAGATTTGAGAGCATGTCTGAGATGAAGAATTCATTAAAGATTTATTGTACAAATGAAGCCTAACTAATTGTTACCTTTCCCAAATTATGTGGGTTATTGACCTGTGTAACGGTAAAAGCAAGGTATTGCACAAACTTGAACCTGTAAGTTTTATCCAGTTACTGTCTACCCACTAAACTCCTTTGGTTTTGTATATACATATCCTCAGATAGTCAGATCAGGAGATTGAGATTTGCATGTATCTTTAAAATATGTGATTTACTAATCAGACTTATTACAAAAATATGTTCTAGGCCTAGTTTAGTCTGTTTGTTTTAGTTTTTTGTTGGAAAGATTTGTTCTTATATGAATGGCAATGCCTTTTGGGTTATCAATAACTCTTTAGGTAAAGTGTACTCTAAACCCTCTGTATTTTACAGGTTACAATGGAATCAAGGAAAGATATATCATTATTCCAGAAATATGTCAAGGTTGCAGCAGTGGTCAGCCTATATTGGTATGTAAAAGTTATTTGTTTGGTTATGTTATCTTTTTTTATGGAATTCATATATAATTAGATTATATAATCCTTTACATAAGATTTTATTTAAATAATAAAACTATTGTATATAAATAATTTGGGAATGGTCTTTCATAGTGCATTTTTATTATTATCACATATTTATATGAAAATGATTGCATTTTGCTTTCTTTGCAGGGTTGTGTCAATATCTATGGTATTTGTTAACAAATATCTACTGGGAGGCTCGTCCATGGGGGATAGAGATGCCCCTCTATTTGTGACATGTTTCCAGTGTTTTGTGACTGTCGTCTTCTGCCTTCTCCTGAAATACATCTCTAGACTGTTTCCACATGTTGTCACCTTCCCTGAAGTTGGAGCTTTAGAAGCAGACAAAGTGAAGAAGGTAAGCTGTTGTTCCTCTATTTTAATCTTTATTCATTCATTCATTTGTTCATTCAACCTTTCTTTACCTGCAGTAACGAAATGATAAACTATACCTGTGTTAGTATATGATTCCACCCCAACTTTCCACCATATCATTTATCTCCCATTTATAGTTTCCACCTTCTCGTGCATTTTTCTTGAGTTTATCTTCTCTGCTACACCTGTTTGGCCTTTGTGCATTTCAGCTTCATCTATCTGCTCAACTCATTGTTGTTCTCCTTTTTATTTATTGATTTCAGAATCTGGCCACTCACTGAATACCTGTCACTTTCCATGTACAAAGTATCAAATTAATATTTCATGGCAGTCTTTCTTTATGATTATTTTTTTCTAAGTTAAATAACAGTAACTTTTTCCTTCTTGTTTGTTTGTATTTTCTTTAGTCTACAGTTGTGCTTAGTTTCTCCAGCTCTTTGCAAGGGTTGTATTATAGAATTTCTAGATGATATGGCTCTTGTTATATATGTCTGATTCCTTGCATTATTATCTTGGCTTCCTAGGTCCTAAGTGTCTGTAATGATATCTGAACCATAAATTTGCTATCTTTTGAATTATATTTATAATGAATGGTTGTCCTTTTAATTTAATCATTACTGTTCTGTCTGACAGTGGTTGCAAGTACATTTGTCTATTAGAGTTTCTAGGCCTTTCTTTTATGAAATTGCCTATCCCAGCTATATTCAATTTCATTTTTTCATTATTTCTAGTTTTGAGCTATTAACCCATTCGCCACAGATTTATGTTCTGTCCCCTGTAGTTTTTAGTGAATTATGTTACCTACAGATGGCTCCACATGTACTCAGCCAGCAAGGAGTCTATCAGTAGGCCCTAGTTACCAACCCTGATTTTCCTATTCATTGCATTGGCGGGAAAATTAATACCATTGCTATTGATACTGTTATTATTGTTATTGATGTTATGATTACCAAATTGTCACTAGCATATTTTAGACAATGAAATGATACAAAAAACCCTTTCCAAAAGTGAAGGAAAAGGGTAAACAGGGGAAATAGGTAGTTCTTGATAACTGGCTGTTTGGTGATTAAGAACTTGTGGAGCCATCTATGTGTAAATACAATAAATAAACTTGTCTCAAAGTGGGTATGGCATCTATTCTTGCCAAATGTGGCGAATGGGTTAATGTTCTATTTTATAAAGTACTCAATTTTGTAATAAGACAAAGTTACTTGATGATGGCTTTGGCCCTCAGTTTTAGGCTAGAAGAAGAAACACTGATGTGTACAATTTTAATTGTAATTGCACCTCTATTTGAACTTGTTTGTATTTCTTTGGGGAGTGTTTGTAGTGGATGTGAGTTCTCACTGTTATGTCTGGGTGCTGAAGGTGATGTGGAAGTCTACGGGGTAGCCAGTGAGGTCTCCCAAGTCAGTAAAGGGCATGGCTGCCTTTGAATTACTGCTGCTTAGCTGAAGTGCGGCTGAAGAGTTGTGAGTTGCTGATCTTGGTTCCAGATCCTGAAACTTAAGTATACGGGGGCTGTGTAAACAAGAGGAGCCTGTGGTCCAATCATAGAGCCGTGAAGTGTCTGTATCAACCATTCAGGTCTCAGCAGGTTAAGAGAGTGAAGGCAAGGCTGATGGACCTGATGTGACCAAATCTGGGAAGTATACACAGCTGCAGGTTGTGGGTTGTGCTGCTAGAGGTACTCCCCCTCCAGTGAATGAGCTAACGAGTCAGAAGTGTAGTAAATGATATGTATCTACCACTTGTCTGGTGGTTTATATATTTGGGGAGTGGTTGTGTGGGTGTGAATGCCCACTGTTATGGCTGGCTGCTGTAGGTGAAGTGGAAAGGCTCCCCAGTTAGTGAAAGACTGGGCAGTCCCATGTAGCTGATGCATACTGAGGTGTGGCTTGAGGAACATAAATTGCTGATCTCGGTTCTGGATCCTGAAACTTAACCCTTTCCTGACGGGCATGGCATGTACATCCATGCCATGCCCACTGCAAGTTTACTTGTTTGATTGTTTTTACTCATAGATGGCTACACTTGTACTAAATCACCAATGAGCCAATTACGAGTACTGGCCCGTTTACCCTTTTCTTTAATTTACAAAAATATTTTACATTATCTTATTTTGCTACTACAAATCCTTATAACATATTAATTGTAATGTTTATAATAAGAATAACACCATTGATATTCATAGCACTAGTAAAAAGCACATTTTCCCACCAATTCAAGGAAAGGTGAAATCAGGTAATGTGTAGAGACATTTCACAAA